AATCCAAAAACATCTTGCAAATAATCATTTAGGTGTCACCGCCTTCTTGCTCGTCACCTACATATATATAAGGAGAGGGTGAGCTTGGATACTCAGTGAATGATATAATTAATAAAGGTTTGAATGAATGATATCCGAGATCTTTATCAAAACAATACATATCATAGCTTGTAACAAAACATGGGATGAATCAAGTTCATCAATCAAAGTCTTTCAAAACTTCAAGGGATGTTTACTAGCATCAATATAATACAATGATGACATTCCGGACAAACCCACGCAGTAAACCGACAGTGGCAAGACAAAGGAGATATCTCAAACAAACGCGCTAGTTGCATTATAAGGACTTTCCAAGAATGTCATCAAAACGAATGTAATACTTGATACAAAAAAATTAAGGATAATCATTCATGCTTGAACAAATACTTTTCCAAAACGAAGCAAGCAAAGCTTTTATCAAACGTTAGAACATAGTTTTATTAAAAATACCACTCATTTAGCTCTTCGGGTGTGGGGATTACAAGCAAGGATCTAGGGCCTACAAGTACATAATAAATCCCATTGAATGCATTTCAAGAAGACAATGAGAGATGCTCAAAGATAGATATAAAATGCATTCCTAAAACAAGCTTTGCATGAGTGTAATGTTCTCGGCATTTCTTTCAAAACTAAGTTAAGACAAAGCAAAACATGTGCTGGGAGTTAAAACACTGTTTCTCATCTCGGGAAAACATGCTAGGTTCCAACCAGGTCTTGGCTGAGGTCCCACACCTCTTGGCTGAGGTGTGGTCTCCTAGGCCTAGGTGTGCATCTAGGCAAGAGTGGGTCTCAGTGACCACACTTAGGGAAATGTGAAGTCTAGAAAATCTAGGTTTCCTTTTGAAGAACATGAAGAACATGAATGCCAAAATCATAACTTCTTTATTCAAAATCTGAGATTTCATGAGGTGAGTTCAAAAGTATGGACCTGGGTATCCGTACTTGAAAATCTTCTTGAAAACAAACACAAAACATGGAACTTGTTATAAACTTTCAGATCAAAACATGGTTTTAATTCAAGAACACAAGAACATCATTTTCTCTTGCATGGCTCATGAATCATGCTAGATCATGCAATGCGATCATATGAACATAAGGAATAACAATAGTAGATCAAGAATCTAACCTCAAAACATGGATCTAACGGTTTAAGTGTGAAGATCAAGCTTGGAAATTTATTATCACTTTAAGAACTCTTCTTTCTCTCTTCCTAGAGCTTCTTTCTCTTCTAGGACAAAGATATAACAAATGGTATGTTTTCTCACTCTACCGGCTGACTTAACCCTCTTCTGGGGCACGTGACAACGACTGGTTGGCTCTCCTAAAAAAGATGACTGACTGACAAGACAAGAGCATGACAAAGTGTGTACAACAAGCAATGTGACAAGGGCACTCTAACAAGGTAAGGACCTCGGGTCAAGACATAGTCTTCGGCAAGTAAGGTCTCAATGATCTCGGCTAGGAAGGATAACACTTGACCCAGTTGTGCCACACCTCGGCCTAGATGTGCCACACCTCGGTCTAGGTCATTCCAGTCCCGGAACAAGATCACTAGGTGCAAGGTTCAAGGATGTTGGATGCCTAGATGATAACATCTCGGCCTAGATGATGACATCTCAGCCAAGATGCCAGGGTGAAGGTGGAGGTCAACCAAAATGGTTCCAGGATGGTCCTAGGTATAAGGGGTTCAAAGATGTGACCTAGGCTTAAGATGACCTCGGTTTAACACACACTAAGCAAGGAACAAAGCATGCAAGCAACACTTAGATAAAACAAATCAAGGTCTGCAGATGCAATTTTAAGCAAGACAAAGATCATGCAAAGGCATGCAAGCATGACTAAGACCAGGTGAGGATTGTTATAATGTTGGTAGAGAAGGCATTGATGGAGAGAGAACTGAAGCTGAAGGAATTGGTGGGAAAAAGACCATATGTGTTTGGAGAGCCTCATAGGGCTCTTCAGTTGTAGCCAGCGAAAAATTCTCAAGGTAAAATAGCCAGCCCAATAGCTAGTCCGTTAGAGGCCCAAAATCAGAGTTAAATTGGCTAAAATGTCTAACAGGTCTTTTTTACCTATCCCATTGGAGTTGCTCTAAACCATTGTTATGTGTCTTATTGGGCTCATTCTGGAATCTATTTGTATTTAATTTTATATTTTAAATTACATTTATTATTTATTTTTTAGATACAAATGTGATTTAATGAAAGAATTTTCAATATTCGATTAATTTATTTTTTTACATATATTTTATTTGATATATTCTAAAAATGAATGATTTAATCATCAAAATAAGCTCCAAAATAGGCTCAATGAACTGCACAACACCTACCCAAACCCTTGTATATGCGTATTCTTAATCACGGAGAGTTGGATTGGCAATCAATTAAAAAAGTAAAAAATTTAAAAAGTGATTTAAAAAGTTAAAAAGCTAAAAAATTATACAATAAATCAACAAAAAAAAATCTTTCTTTTTGCACTTTTTTTTTTTTTTTGGTAGAAAGGCAAAAAAAAAAAATGTCAAACATACTAATTTTTTAACAATGCTATATCTCCTAAATTATCACTTCTAAACCATTCCTAATGATGTGATATTGAGGTTAGACCCCATATGATGAACTGTTTGACAAATCAAAATTTGACACTTGTCAGACACATTATTATAGGTGATTTTTAGGGGTGATAAATTAGGTGTCTCAAACATTTTTTTATAACTTTTTAACCTCATATTTTAGATAAAAAAACTAAAAAATTACTAAAATATTCTATTCACAAACCAACCCTGAATTATAAAAAAAATTGAATCTCAATACATAGGCCTCATTTCAAATAAACTAAAGCCATGTTTGGAAATTGACTATTTAGTTGATTTATTTTTTATTTTTTATTTTTTATTTTTTATGAAAAGATGTGCAGAAAAATAGGAAGAATGATATGATAATTTATAATAATTTTTTTAATTTTTTAGCTAAAAATCATAGTTCCCATACACGGCCTTATGAGTTAGTTTTTCTAATTATAACTTTTAGATTCACAAAATGGTATAGAAGTCTAATTTTTATACCAATTTTAGTGATGTGTAAAATAAATGATTGACTCATGATTACAGAAAACATGAGAGGAGAAATTATCTTAGATATTCTAATAACAGTCTGGAGTCTAGACTGTCTCTAATTAGATATTCCAACTGGACAGTCCAGCCCAGCCCAGCCCATTTTGGGCCTGTTTCGATGATCCAAATTATTTAATGTGTAGGGCTTGTAAAAAAATCACGTTGATCAGATATCAATAACTACTTGATCAGATCATATTTATGTCAATAATTATCTTTTAAATCATATTTATCGTTGACATAAATTTTATATGGTTAAGTGGTTATCGATATTTGATCAAGATGATTTGTTATTGGGATGAAATATTCAACAAATGTTCCATATTAAATAGTTCAAATTATCAATGTGAATTTTGTACTAAGTCCACATAAACCCAACAACATGCTCCAATTCCAAATAGCCACTGCCTTCTAATAAACTGCCACTACTCTTTAGGTTATTAACTTAAAAAAAGAAATAATAAATATGTTTAGTAGTATAACTTTTGATTATCTTTTAAAAAAAAAATAGAACTTATTTGATTAAATAAATATATTATAATATCTATTAATTTCTTCAAAAGTTATAAATAAGACAAATGAAATAAGAATTTTATTCATCTGCATTTAAGGGTTTTTAGTAAATTAAAAATAAATGTAAATTCTATTTAACTAACGATTTTTTTTTTTGTTATTTTTTTTTAAAGTTCAAAAAAAAAATTGTAATATAAAACTGCAATCCAACATTATTAATCAACTCTCTATCTAAAAAGATATACATTATTAATCAATTTCTTTATTTTAATAAACAAATTAAATAAGTTGATTTATGGGTGATTTAAATAAATAAATTAAACAAGTTGATAGTAGTTCAACTATACTATTAGATGAGATATTTGTTGGAATAGAAAGAGAAAATGGTTTGGGTAGACGTGGGGTTGGTGCTATCTTTATTCACCCCAAAAAAAGGGGTTGGTGCTATCACAACGCAGTGTTGTGAGTCTGTGGGACTTCTCTCGAATTTCTTTTATATTATAAAATTTGTTAGATAAATTATTTATAAAAAAATTAAAATAATTAAATATGTGTAATTCCATAACAATACACATTTGGTATTTATTTTATTTTATTTTATTTTAAATTAATAAATGATTAGTATGATTTTGATTTTTTTTAATTATGAACTAATGAAGGGATTACACATATTTAATTAATCTATTTTTAAAAAATAAATAAATGATACATTGACAAATACTAAAATATAAGCTACTCAAATTATTAAAATAAGCTCGAGATGACCTCACACGAGACCTCACGAGACCCGTGCTGTGCCAACCCTGTTCCGACCCTGACTGGAACATGGTACAGAAATGAAAAACAGAGGATCCAAGTACGACAACATCCCATTTCTTTCCATTCATACATGGAACCTACCGAAATCATAAATATTTCTTTCCAATTCACATATTGGGGATGCTTGGCAAAGATTTTTTTTAGGTATTTTGGGCTAAAATTTATAAAAAAATAAAATAAATTAAAATAATTAATAAGATAAAATGTCACATTAAATTTATAATCATTTCATTTTTTCTCTCATAAACAGTACATTCAATTACGAAAAAATTTAACTATCTCCTCAAACACAAAAATTTTAATTTACTAAAATAGTCAAAAATTAAAACAACCTACTAAAATAACAATTTCTCAAACACTCTCATTATGCAAACTCACCTCAAACATTAGAAACACAAAAAAAAAATAAAATAAAAAGGTCAAAATTTGGTCCCTGCTTTCCCAACGCCCTAGATTGCGGTATTGAAACAGATTTGGTATGAACCTACAAGCCGCTCTGTCATGACTTTATATAAAGAAAAAACAAAGTGAAATCCAACCCAACTCAACCAAAACCTCCCTTTAAACCCTTCTCTCTAACTCTCTCAATTCTATCTCCTCCAACAATACCCAAAAAGCAAAAATGCAACTACTTCTTCTTCAGCACTTGTCCCCCAAAACCCAAAACTCATCTTTACGCTTCATCATAAACCTCATTCTAATCTTATCTTCTCTATGCATAGTCATCTACCTCTTTCTCTCTCTCCTCCTCCTCCTCCACACTTCCAACTCCATAACTTTCTCATCATCAGCATCATCATCGTCATCATTGTCATCACTACCGTCCACCTCACTCGACCACATCGTGTTCGGAATCGCATCGAATCAAAACTCATGGCCGAAGCGAAAGAACTACGTCAAGCTCTGGTGGAGACCCAACCAAATGCGAGGCTGTGTCTTCCTCGACGACGACGACAACAACAGCAGCAAATCACCCCAAAACGACACCGTTTCATCTCTCCCTCCGATTTGCATATCCGACGACACGAACCGGTTCAAGTACACGTACCGGGGCGGACTCAGATCGGCGATTCGGGTCGCCCGGGTCGTATCAGAGACTGTGGCTCTGAACCATTCGAATGTCCGGTGGTTCGTGTTTGGTGACGATGATACGGTGTTCTTTCCCGAGAATTTGGTGAAAACGTTGTCAAAGTATGATCATGAGCTTTGGTACTACGTTGGGACTAATTCGGAGATGTATATCCAGAATAGGTACTTTTCTTTTGATATGGCGTTTGGAGGGGCTGGTTTTGCGATTAGTTATCCATTGGCTAAGGTTTTGGCGAAGGTTTTTGATTCTTGTTTGGAAAGGTATCCTCATATGTATGGAAGTGATGCTAGGATTTATGCTTGTGTTTCAGAGCTCGGCGTTGGGTTGACCCGAGAACCCGGTTTCCATCAGGTATGTGTATATGCATCGATTATTATTCGGAAAATGCTACGATGCAAATGATTTATCAAATTTTGGTGTGGGATCCATACGAATCCACATGTGTGTCAATCCGTACCCATAAAAAAAATTTGGTAAAAATTGTAATAAATCATTTGGGTCTCTAGCTTTACTTTTATCATTCAACTCAAAATCTACGTTCATTTATGTAACTTTGATTGCTACATTAATTCCGGAGAATTGGATTACATATATAATAAATTAATGCCTTCTATCTATGAAAAATACTATGGTGCACAAGCGTACTTTATAATTAAGAAAAAATGATATAATTTTAATTTTTTGAGTCATAGTTAAAAAAAAATGTCATAACTAAACATAATATGAGGTATAATTAAAATCTCGTGAATCATAACTAAAATAATGTTATAATTAAATAAAAAAATTGGTCATAGTTAGAGAAAAAATAACATAATTAGGTACGTATATACTTTTTTTAAAGGGATGTATATTAGAATTTCCCTCTATCTATACTTACTATTATTAAATGCCACATGACAACTTTTTATAGCATAAAATAAAAAGTTATTGATAGAGGATAGAGAATGTTTGAATCCAAAACTTTGAATTTCATTAAGAATACGCTTAGCCTTTGGCTAGTTATTATTATTATTATTATTATTATTATTATTATAATATATGTGAATACTTAGGTTGACATCTTGAATTTTGTCCCCTTTTATACCAAATGTCCAATTATTTATCAAAAGAAAAACAAAAAGATTAAATAAGAAAATAGAATAAGACATGAGTTTAAAGACCACAAGTTTAATAAGAAAGAATCTTACCTGTTGAGATTAAAACACATATATATTCAACATCTTATTTTATTTTTATTTATTTAATTTGAACCGGCATTGCGTAGGTTTCTTCAGTCTTTGAACAAATGTTTTTTTGGGTGGGTAGATGGAACAACTGTTACTGATGTGAATCTCATAAAAGATACTATCTGGTTTAGCTACCCAAAGTGGACCCAAAGTAGGCAGATTTAGCTGGACCTCAGACTAGGGAGAAGCTTTGCTTATAGTAAATAATTGGGTAAATTACAATGACCTTGAATAAAATTTAAAAAAAAAAAAAATTGAAAAAATAGAGTTAGTCACATAGTTTTGACAAAATTATATTGAGTTTTTTATGATTTTAATTCATATAATACTAAGCACTATTTTTATCAATAATTTATTACTTACATGGATGAAAAAATAATATTGTTATCTATTTTAAACAAAAAGCTAAATTTTACGTTGTTTATTTTTGTATTTTTACACCATATATATTAGTTTTAACCCATCTAACCTTGCTTAAAGGAAAGTTAGTGTAATTATGTCAAAGCTATGGAACTTGCTTTATTTTTTTCCAAACTTTAAGGGAGTTCAGTATAATTTACCCTAAATAATTTGTTATATTTTATTTGATTAAAGTGAAATGAATGGTGAGATAAAGGAAAAATATTTTATTGTTCATTGTTGAATAAAGGGATAGATTTAGGCCAAGTTTGGGAAGACTAAATAAGTGCACTTTTTGTCTTTTTAGACTAAAAAGTTGAGGTTGAAAATATGAATGTTTGGGTTAACTTTTTGACTTTTTATGGAAAAATGTGTAATAAAAATTTGTAAAAATTAGTTTGCAGGGGAAAATTAGAATTGGGAATTGTGCAGCCGTAATTGTTGACTTTTTGTGAATAGTGATGACTTTTTAACTTTTTGAGTAACTTTTTGACTTTTTGACTTTTTTTAAACTACCCAAACTTGGCCTTAATTTAACCATATTAATAATCCCATGTAGTACACAATCCAACATTAGAAGGGGGGGAAAAAAAAACACTAACCAAGCAGTGGATTAGCAAACCCTCCCCTGTTTAATCCCCCAACAAAAGCAAACATGGCAGCAAGGTTTCACATAGCTGTAATATTGTTCATTAATATTATGTAGTGGTATCCTCGGTAGTGTAACAGGCATTTTGTCTAACAAATGAACATAAACCTAGGTTTTGGTATGTTGCCTAACGTGTACTCTAACAACACTTTTTATTTTTTAAATTAGTTTGCTTATTTTCTACAATTCTCACAGTGTTTGGTTGAGAGATTTGGAAAGAGAAAGGGAAAAGAAAAAGTGGGTGAAATATGAATAAAATATACTTACATTTCATATAATTTCACACAGCTTTTCCTTTTCATTTTTCAAATTATTTCTCCCAACCAAACATAATGCAAATGTAGTTACTCAAGAGAGGATGATGCAAAGTGCCTATCATATTGCCATCTTGTTAGAGCTTTATTCTATAATGAGGCTAGAGAAAGTGCCTAAAATGCTTAAATGTCTCTCTTGTTAAAGATGCTATGAAGGTCTAATAATCTTTTGTTCACCAATTCCTCTGTTTTTTGTCATTTGAGGAAATTTTAATTCAAATTAGAAAACTATGTACTACATTTAAGTAATATTGGGTATGTGAAATCTGATCAGGTGGATGTTCAGGGGAATATTTTCGGATTGTTGGCTTCCCATCCAAACACTCCTTTGGTATCTCTCCATCACTTGGATCTCACAGCCCCAATCTTCCCAAACATGACAACTACCAAGGCCCTGGAACACTTGATAGAAGCTTCCAAGGTCGATCCGCACAGGCTTCTGCAGCAAACAGTTTGCTATGACAGATGGTTTTCGTGGACTGTCTCGGTGTCATGGGGCTACGCTGTTCAAGTTTTCAGCAACCACATGTTCTTGCCTGATGTTCTTCGTGCTCAACGGACTTTTAGTCCGTGGAAGAGAGGGAATGCTCTTTCTGAATCGTATACTTTTGACACGAGCGATCATCACCCTGACCCGTGTCGAAGGCCTACTGTTTTCTTCTTTGACAAGGCGGATTCTGGTGATGGAGATGGAATTAACAGTAGTTACATAAGAATGGTCCATGAAAATTGCACATTTGACATCGTTTCACCAAAGAAACTGGAAGAGGTTAGAGTGTTTTCACGTAAGATGGAGCTTGATATCAAACAGGTACTTTTTTTTAGCTTTGTGCACAAATTTAACTGATATTTCTTTTGGCTGAATTTTTATAATAATATTAAGTGCACAGAAATAGAATACTAAAAATTATTGTATTATGTGGTTAAAATTCTTTTTTAGTGTGGTTTGAGCCGTACTTAAAATAAATCGCAGTCACATTGGGCTTTATTTTTGTCAATTTATAAGTTACTTATTTTTCCTTTTTTTTTTTTTTCTTAAATTTTTTGAAATAGTGCAAAAATATTTTAGGAAGCCATATTTTGTTGAAAAAGCTAACAAAATTCGGCTTATTTTTTAGCGAACAATTTCAAATAGTTTTTTTAGGATTGTCTAGTATAGACGGACGTAAATAGTGAAATTTTTTATTCAAAAATGAAAAAAGTTCACAAAAACATAAACGAGTTGAAAAAATTAACCAACTTATGAATTCCAGCCAAAAGAATGCTAATCCAATATCAATAATTCTAGGAACACTACTCTCTGAACCACTGATAAACCAGCTCATATATTTGAATGTGGGGCCGTAACAAGTACGGGCATCACATGCAGGTAAGGGAGAGGGTTATGGTTTTGTTGAAGGTTGATTTTGTGTCTGTAAAATTATTAATTGAACATTGTTGTACCTTCTTGTGCTCTTTGAATGCTATAAAGAATATTTTCATACCATTTTGTTTTTGTTGTTACACAGTTGCGGGCACCAAGGCGGCATTGTTGTGATGTTTTGCCTTCTTCATCTGGGAAAGTAATGGAAATTGCCATTAGAGAATGCAAAGAAGAAGAATTGATTTACATGCATTCATAGTGTGTACCTATGACAGAGTAAAGCTATCACTAGTGAAGCCTTCATGGCTGCTTGATCTAACTAAATTACATTGTTATTGCCAAAGAGACAGATCAGATGGGAAAAATGGTAGGTGCCTCGGTGAGACTGAGACATAAACAATCACACAACTCTGTTCCACACACATTTTCATGTAAACAGTGACAGACTCAAGCCCATAATGTTCGAGAGGATCAATTATGCACTATTGCGTACGACATATTTACACAAGATTCAGACAATATGAGACCCATACTAATAGATGGCCTGAATTTCACACGCTAGTTGCATTTGGATCATGAATTTGAGTAGAGATTTGAAAAAGGATAAAGAAAAAGTGAGGGAATACACTAAGCTTGTAAAGAAAGTTCAACTAATCTTGTGCATATTGGGCATTGTTTATTTTCAGCATGTAAAGGAACGCATGAATTATTCAATGTCACTATCGGTTGTGAAGGAAAAGGAATGGAAACTGTAACAAAAATTTAACTTTTAAAATTGACGAATGTCTGTAGTTTGAAAATAGGTGCTGTCATCTAACATTGTGATGAGTTGTGTTAGGTAATCTTATAATTGTGCTTTTAAGAAAAGATTTTGATTTGATCATTTTAGAAAACATGTGATTTGATTTTGAAATATATGCCTTTTATTAGGAAGATGACTCCAAAAGGTCAAAATAAAACTGGGATGGCATGTCCGGAGTTTGATTACAAGTATGGAGACTGCAATTCCCTTGTCTTCTTATTTGTGAAAGAAAGGTTGCTATATGTTACAAGAATACTTCACTCAAACCCTTCTCATCTTATTTGATATTTTGAACGGCATGATAGGCTTCATGATTTTCAAATATAATAAATTTTACACATATGTATGGCCTTTATTGAATAGATACATATAGGAGATAAAATTAAATCTAGTGACAAATTAAATAAAGCATATGCTTCAATCTTTGGCTTGCCAACACAAAAGTATTGATACTACTAAAAATCTCAAATTATTTATTTATTTATTTTTTTAGCGATGGCACGGTGCTGTCGCCAATATTCCGTAAGTGTTGCAAATTAGCTGCGACAAGTGAGGTGAGGCAAAAGTACAGTGTGACAAAAGGTATATGCAGCCTCTTCATCCAACCTATTCTACTGTTTGCTACACTTTATTTATTTGTATTTTTTTGTGATGATGGGTAACCACACACCATGTAAGTGCTAAAGGAACCTGCAAGTGCTAAAGGAACCTGTATTGTAACATTTTATTGTTGTCTAGAAACATTTACCTGGCATAACTTTTCAAAACTTGTTTTATATATTATTTTTTATCAGGAAAAAAAAAATAGATTAATTGAATATCTATAGATTTAAAACAAAAGCACATTAGTTTTCAAAAAAATAAATACATAAATAAACAGTTAGAATAATTTTAATAATTTATTTTAAAATAGTTAAGACTTAATCATAAAATTACACATATTCTATTAATTTAATTTTTTATGTGAATAATATATTTAATAAATTTTAAAATATAAATAATTTAAATTATCAAAATAAGTTCAGGACAAGTTGCCAATAGATCTCACAGCATGCTACCCACCAGGTCCTTGACAAGCAAACTTGACGTGCTAGCACTAAACCAAAGAGCAATCAACCAAAACAAAATAACCAAACCCAAAAAGTACTAGTTGGTTAGGATGACTATTGAAGCAATATTTTATGAACGAAAAGAAATATAATACGTAATTATAATTTAATTAAATTGTACACTACTTTATTTCTTAATTACCTGAAAAAAAAATATTTCATTTTTCTTTCTTTTTTTTATTTATTGCAAATTAGTTATTTATAGGGATTTTTATTGATAAATTCCATTTAGAAGTGTTTTAACCCAAGAAATTCATGAAGGAATTTTTTAACCCATTTAGTTTCATGTATGTATAGTTTTATTCCATAAAGTTTTTTTTCTTGATTTATACTATTTTTTTGGACACTTATGCCCTTATATTTAATTTTGATACCGTTATAAATATTTTTTGAACGGTTAGCAATTTTATGATGTGAACATTCATATTTTAAAATTCACATTGGTATGAATGTAAAATTGGCCCGTGGGCAGCCTGAAACCCGCCCGCGAGCCGGGGCTGGCCCGGGCCGTTGACAATGTGAATATTCACATTGATATGTTAACATTCACATTAATAGGAGTGTAAAATTGGTCCGCGTCCCGTGGCGGCGCGAAACTTGCCCGTGGCCCATGGGCGGCCTGGGGCGGGCCCGGTCCGAGCCGTTGACAATGTGAATATTCACATTGACATATTAACATTCACATTGATAAGAGTATAAAATTTGCCTGCGGCCTATGGGCGGCCAAAAGCCTGCCCACGGCCCGAGGGGGCCCAGCCCGTTGACAATGTGAATATTCATATTGACATGTTAACATTCACATTGATAAGAGTGTAAAATTAGCCCACGCCTCGTAGTTGCCCGAAACCCGTCCACGGCCCATGGGTGGCTCGGGACGGGCCCGGCTCGGCCTGTTGACAATATGAATATTCACATTGACATGTTAACATTCACATTGATAAGAGTATAAAATTGGCCAGCGGCCTAGGGCGGGCCCGACCCCGCCCGTTGACAATGTTAATATTCACATTGACATGTTAACATTCACATTGATAAGAGTGTAAAATTGGCCCGTAACCCGTGGGCGGCCCGAAGCCCGACCGCAGTCCGAGGCGGGCTTGGCCTGACCTATGACAATGTGAATATTCACATTGACATGTTAAAATTAACATTGATAGGAATGTAAAATTTGCCCGCTGCCCGAAGCTTGCCTGCGGCCCGGGGTAGGCCCGGTCCGGCTCGGCCCGTTGACAATGTGAATATTCACATTGCCATGTGAAAATGTATATTGATAGGAATGTAGAATTGGCCCGCGGTTCGTGGGCTGCCCGAAGCCCGCCCACGGCCGGGGGCAGGCTCGTTTCGATCTGGGCCCGAGTATGTCCGAGACCCTAGGTTAGGGCCTAGGTCATCACTTTGAAGCCTGGGTCGGCCCATCGGCCCGTTTAAGGCCCATTCAAGGCTCGGTCCGAGGCCCAGTCCGCCTGAGGCGCAATGTATTTTTTTGTGGAAAATAATAAAATTTTTGTAGAAAAAATTAAAAAGAATTAAAAAAAATGGCCAGGCCCGTCCAAGCCCGATTTAAGCTCGAGGCTAGGCTCAGGCCCACCGGCCCGACCCGAGGCTCGATCCATCGGCCCGTCCAAAGCCCGAATACCCTTGTGCTAGGGCTAGGGCCTGGGCCTAATTTTTTGGCCCGTGGGCCGGCCCTACTTGGCTCGGGAAAGGCTCGTTTGGGCCCAGGCTCAAGCTTAGTCCGAGACCCTAGGCTGGGGCCTGGGCCATCACTTTGAAGCCCGGCCGGCCCATCGGCCTGGTTAAAGCCCATTCAAGGCTCGGTCCGAGGCCCGGCCCGCGCCAAGGCCTAATGTCTTTTTTTGTGGAAAATAATAAAATTTTGGTAAAAAAAATTAAAAAGAATTAAAAAAAAATGGCCAGGTCCGCCCTGGGCCGCCCACGGGCTGTGGGCGGGTTTCGGGCAGTCACAAGGCACGGGCTAATTTTACACTCCTATCAATGTGAATGTTAACATGTCAATGTGAATATTCACATTGTCAACGGGCCGGGTCGGGCCCACCCTAGACCGCTAGCCAATTTTATACTCTTATCAATGTGAATGTTAATATATCAATGTGAATATTCACATTGTCAACAGGCCAGGCCGGGCCCGCCTTGAGCCGCCCACAGGCCGTGGGCGGGTTTTTGGCAGCCACGGGTGCGAGCTAATTTTACACTTCTATCAATGTGAATGTTAACATGTCAATGTGAATATTCACATTGTCAACGGGCCGAGCCGGGCCTGCCCCGAGCCGTGGATGAGCTTTTGGCCGCCCATGGGCGCGGACCAATTTTATACTCTTATCAATGTGAATGTTAACATGTCAATGTGAATATTCACATTGTCAACGGGCTGGACTGGTCCCGCCCTGGGCCACTCATGGGCCACGGGCGGGTTTCGCGCCGCCACGGGACGCGGGCCAATTTTACACTCCTATTAATGTGAATGTTAACATGTCAATGTGAATATTCACATTGTCAATGGATCGGGCCCGCCCTGGCCCGACTCGAATTTTTCCAGGCACCCACGAGGATCGACATGGGCCGGGCCCCTGTACATTGACGAAATGAATATTCACATTGATGGTGTGAACATTCACATTAGGGGTATTTTGGTAATTATGTCACCCATAGGACTTATTGAAACATAAGAAAATAATGTGAACTAAATGGAACATAAGTAGATGAAAAGGGTATTTTAGTCTTCTTATCTCTAATAGGACGTAATGGAATAGTCAAAAAGAATATGGGTTGGATGGAATAAAACTCTTAGAAAGTGGATTTATCAAAAAAACTCGTTTATTTATATATTATCTAAGGAATTACAAGTTTTGTGGAAGCTCCAATATTTCAATATTAATTTTTTAATTTTTAAAAGTTAAAAAAAATCTTTTATTGGCTAGCTCTTATTCAAGCAAAAATATTATATAAGGAAAATGAGGTTTCTAATCCACTAGTCTTGTGGGATTTTCAATATCCCAATCTTAATTTTCCAATTTTTTAATTTTTAAAAATTAAAAAAAATCTTCTATTGGTTAGCTCTTATTCAAGCAAAAGTAAAATAAAATAAATTAAAAATTAATATCTCTTAATTTATGCCTTTTAAATGAAAAGTATATCAAATCTAAAAAAATAGTAATCCATTTCAAAATTTAAATTTGAGGGTCACTAAATATAAAAAGTAATCTACTAATTTAAATTTAAAATTGGTACAATATAAATTTCAAATTATAATGATAGCTCATAATTTTTGCTTTATGTTGAGATTATTTATATATTTTATAAAAAAATGCTTTTAAGAAGAGATATTATAAGTGTTTCAGAATCTCATACAAAATCTATGTACTATTATAATTTTAAAATATTGTCATTTTATTAAAGCTGAAAGTTGCAAATTTATTTATTTTTTTGATTTTGTTTAATTTTTGCTAATATGTGTCACAATATGATTGGTCTATAAATTCATTTTATATTCTTAAAATAAAATTTTAAATTTAGATTCTTTTTTAAATTATGTTACCAGAATAAGATCAATATTTATTTCTTAATTTATGCATCTTTTATTAAATTATAAAATAAAATTTTAAATTTAAATTCTTTTTAAAATTATGTTACTACAATTAAAATGAGATCAATATTCACATATGTTATAATGATGTGTCATAATATCATTGGTTTAAACATAATTTGTTATTAAATACATATATTCAAATTATTAATCGCAATTAAAAATTAATATTTTTATTTTTTTGTCATTTTTGACTTTAAATTTTATAATTTTTTCTTTATATCTTTCTAAACTATAAGACTTAAATAATAAATTTTTTAATAAAAATATATTTTTTAACAAAAGGAAAAAATATTTAAAAAAATTGAATGGCCTTTTTAACAATTGCCAAACATAATGGATTCTATTATTTATTTATTTTTAATTTCAATTGTCAATTAAGCAAATTAAAATAAAAAATAATTCTTTTTGGTTTAAATAGTTAAGAAGTGACTTTTGTTAAAATCAAAGAGAAATAAATATTTTTTTCTATTAAAAGTGCTAGTGGGTGAAATTTATTTTTTTTATATAATAAAAAAAAGTGTGAGTTACACGTGATAGTTTATTTTTCAGGTAGTCCTATAGACCCACACTTTCACCCACAATGATGTGGCAAGCCAATTGGGCCTCATATCATTAAATATATAGTAAATCAAGAGTTGATGTATATTATACTACATCATTATAGGTACAATTATGGAGTTTTTTTTGTGGATCTGAAACATTTGTTTTTATTATTCATCTAGATTTTTTTAGCACTTATAAAACATGGTAGATCATGTTAATTATTTTTTTTAATCTCAATTGTCAATTAATCAAACTAAAATAAAAAATGAAAATTAAAAATTGCTAAAAAGTAAAAATCTTCTTTTATTGCTAAATTAAAATGAAAATTAAAAATCCAAAAAATTGAGAAGTAAAAATCTAAACAATTGAGAAGTAAAAATTAACATGAAAATCTAGATGTTAAAAATTAGATCATGTTAAAAATTAACATAAAAAATTGAGAAGTAAAAATCTAAAAAATTTAAAAGTAAAAATCTAAAAAATGAAAATTAACATGATCTATTATACCACATCATTAACATGGAAATTGCTAAAAAGTGACTTTTGCTAAAACAAATAGAAATAAATGTTATTTTTCAAATGAAAGTGATGGTTGGTGAAATATTTTTTTTTATTTAAAAAAAAATGAGAGTTACAAGTGGTAATTTATTGGTCATCTAGAATTATTTTCCGATCAAATAAGAATACCATTCGAAATTTTCATCTTAATTTTTTTTTGTCCAGATACTTTTATTTTGTAAGAAATTTAATTTAAATTTTTTATTGTAATTTTTAAATTAAAGACACTTTTTTGAAAAATCATATTTAAAATATTTTATGCCATTATAAAATGTAATTTTTTTTAATACCAACTTATTCGATTATCCGTTTCTAAAAAGTATATTTGCTTTTGTTCATTAATATTAAATTTTTAATCAATCTTATTTATTATTAAAAAATAAATTAGCAAATAATTTATATATTTATATATACAATTTTGTTTCGATTGCTCAAGTTATTTGGTGTCTCTACAAAAGTCCACTCAAATTTATTTGAATTTTACATAAATCCTCACCAAATTAAAAATTATGTTGCCTAATCTTTAAAAAATTCCAAACTTGACTTGAGTTGCTTAGATTGAACTCGCCCGAGTTTACTACTCTAACAAAGGGGTTGACAGTTACATGATTGAAATTGTGACAAATTAAAAATTAATACATGAATTGTGAAACTTGAATTGTAGATTTCAATATTTTTTTTTGTTTTCATAATTTACATACAAAAATTTAACTATTTATATTATTTTCTATAAAAATATTAGTATTAATTTTTTCACATCTTGTGCACTAGTTTTCACTAGTATATTATTAGTTGTAATTAATTGTGTAATAACTATTCAAAAATTTAATTATTTATATTATTTTATATAAACATATTTAATTAATTTTTTCACATCCCACACAAAATTTTCGGCAGCGTATTATAATCTAGAAATGATAGATAGTCAAAGTAAGTGACCCTTCATCATTGCCATCCGTGAGACATTTGTGCATAATTGCCTAATATCACGGCCGCGCAGTGCGAGTTCAAACCTTTCACAATAATTGCCTAATAGTACGAAATTGCTGAGGAGTAGCATAATCTTCTTGTTTGACCCGATCATTAACAAGTTTGGAAAAGTTCCTCCAGTTGAACAAACTATGTGGGCTTTTTTTGAAAATTATTCCCCGTTAGAAAAATCACTTTTTGCGTTTATTTTTTTACGATTGATTATTTCACTATTGTAAAAAAAAATAATTTTACAACGACAAATTAGCCGAATCAAAAACTTGTGAACCCACCCAGCCTAAGCAAATGCTTGCGAGTCCACTATTGGGAACCTACTCAGCCCAATTTATATTTTCCTTTTTTCTTAAACTCTTATTTCTCCCAAATTTGATTGCGTGAAACTTGCCCTAGATTCCCATTTCTCCCCAAATTTAATTTCGCTCGATCATGTCTGAGTAAGAGAATCTGAAGAAGAGATCTCCAACGGTATGAACTCTCTCTCTCTCGTCTCCGTGAGTCTCTTCCAATCATTATTCATCTCTCTACTTCGATCACTTGAACTCACTGTAATTCGTATTCAACTTCTTCATCTGAACTCACTGTAATTCGAACTTTTTGTCAATCTATTGATTATTCCACTAGGTAGTTTGATTCTGGAAACAAGCTTTGGTTTGAATCAATCCTTCCTCATCTACTACAGGTACAAGCTGAACCATTCAATTCTTAATTATTATCGCTCCACCTTCCAATTCTCACCTCTCTCTCTCTCTCTCTCTCTCTCTCTCTCTCTCTCTCTCTATATATATATATATATATATATATAGCATTGCTCTCACATACTTGCTTGATTTCACCTCCTTTAATTCTAGATAGTGAAACTACAAGCGCTGCAGTAGTTTGTAGCACATGGGGCTTGTTTCTAGAATCAAACTCCATATCTATGGCAGCATCTGTAATTCAGGTTTGAGAAAGGTCAAATATCAACGATGATAAACTATGCATATTTAAAAGTATTACTCATCTGTTAACATTATTGATCTAACAACTATAAGCAGTGATCTCTATTTCTAGAAAAATATCAATGTTAAACATTAGGTTGGGCATTACATTTTATCTCTCATCTGTTTTTCATTTTGTGAAATCTTTATGTGCAATTACTTGATTTTGTTAATTTGTTAAATATTGATGTTAGGCACTGCTATAAGTGTCCTTGTTACAATATTTGTAAGGGAACACATTGTTTCCATACACCATAACAGATCACCAAAATCTATTTCACTAATGTTTCTAAATACTTTTTAATGTTCTATAGAAATGTAAACACTAATATTTATGATTCTGTTTTCCTCACAATGCTTCTGAAATATGCACTAATGCAGGGGGATCACTACCTAAAACCATTTGTAATACCGAAACCAGAAGTCAGAGTGAGCAGAAGAACCAGTGTAGATGAATCTCTATTTTTCTAGAAATAGAGATTTGGATGTTGGCATGGTTCTATATTGAGAAATGCTATATGTCAACTGAAAAAGAGCTTTAATTGGGTGTCTTCATTCATTTCCCGTATGTTCGTTTTATTAATAGTTCAAAACTATCAATTCATACAGCAGGACCAAGCTAACTCTGATGAGGTGTTGATATATTCAGTTGGGTGATGATTCCTTCATGTACTGAAGCTGTTACTAGAAAAGAGCTTGATCTAATTTTGTGACACCTGTGCATTGAGATATTTACCTTTCATAGACATTTAATTTCATCCTCTTGGCATTTGATTTTTATCGAGCTTAAGTACTACTTACCATTGGTTGATGCTGGAGCCTCAGAAGGTATACAACTCCATGACTTTTTCAAAAGAAAAAAAAATGCTATAGTTTTGTTTTTAACACCATGATCTTCACTACAAAAATGCTATAGTTTTTGAAATATTGTTAGTATTTTCTGTCATGTTTAGTTTGTAAGTGTTTTGTGTTGCAATAGAATTGCATTGGTGGTGTTTGTTGATATTTGATAATGTACAGTTGTCCTAAAAAGTGATATTTAATTGTGCACTCATTTATTTGAAGATATATATGTGTGTCTGTGTGTGTGTGTATAACCTTCTTTTCATAAATTTTGATTTCCTTAGCTATTCTATTTTCAATATGAAATTGAATTTATTTCATGATAGCAAAAAGTATGTATGAAATGGTTGTGCGTGCTCCAATTTATTATTTGATTGATGCAAAACTGACCAGTTGGCGAAATTAGTTTCCTAGTGAAGTCAATTAGCAATAATTTGTTGCTAGCATTTTGATAGTGCCCTACTTTGACTGTGTTGAGATTCATAGTTAATTAAAACTATTATCAACACCATCATCATAGAAATATTCTTTTTGAGCAGTTAGCTTAAAATATGTACCCCACGCAAATGAATCATCTGCTTTTAATGAATTTATCAGCTTATTATGAATTAGGTTGCCTATTTCTCTGAGAGTTGTTGTTATGGAATTAGCATTTTAAATCAATTCTACTAAATGAGAATGAATGTTTTTTTATATATGGAGTGGTGTCCTTAAAGCTTGCTGTTAATCTTCCCTTAGTTTAATGCAAATACTAGAAGCCCTTTGCTATTAATCAATTCTTTTTCCCTTAGTTTATAGGATTCAGAAAGCGACGGACACTCTAAATGGTTCCAATCAAATTATTCATTCTTGAACTAAAGGCAGTTTTGTTGAGAATTCCCAGTAATTAAAATTTTATTTTAATCTAATTTTTTGATTTATTTGTGGACAGGGTCACCCTTGGACTCTGGACCCACAACACCTTTGCCAGACAAAAAGTTATGGTGTTCATTCTTGACGGGCTTCAAAAGTTTGTGCTTTCTTTTGTAGCTTCTTAGATTTTCTTTTTTTGTTTTTTCCTTGTACTGTTCTATTTGGGTTTTTGATTATTGTAAGCTGATTGCCTCTTTAAATTTCAACTGCAGGAAAGACACTTATGGGTTTTCTCAGAACCTGTTGACCCAAACGGGTGCTTTTTTTGGAAAATGTTGCATACATAATGATGATTCTTAATTGCCCCTTTTGTTAAATTGGTACTGAAATAGTCTTTATGCAGCTTCCTGATTACCATGAAATTATTGAGCGTCTGATGGATTCTCGAACTGTCAGGAAGAAACTAGGGGAGGGGCATTATTCCAACTTGGATGAGTTTCAGGTGGGTTTTGAGCTCTGGGCTGATTTGTGGTTTTGTTAGTTATTGTATTTTGTTTCTCCCAAGGTCATTACTATAGTGCAATTAAATACAAGATATTTTTCTTGTGCTTTGACAATCCATGGGTGTCTTTAAAATCACATGTTGACCGCACAATACGTTTTCATTTCCATCTTCTTCTTTTATGGTTTTTTTCCTCAAGCAATAAGTGCTAATTCCTGAACTCAATGACTCTGAATTTCATGCTTGTGCTTAACCATATCAATTGCTAATTTGTGGTTGAAACTGGTAATTGGAAATTACTGTTGTGATTAATATTGTTGAGTCAGTGGTTCTAGCTTACTCACATATACATTAGTTACTAATGCTGGGGTGTAAATGGTAATTGCAAATTAATGTTGTAATATATAATGCAATGTGATGTGAAAATCTATGTTGTTCAAAATTTCCCATACTTTCCTAGAAATACATCAGTTAGTAATGCCGGGATGTAAATGGTAACTGGAGATTAATGTTGGAACATATAATGCCATGTGATGTGAAAATCTACCCTGTTCAAAATTTCCCATGTTTTCTGGAAAATAATTGCATAAATGAGTAATGCCAGGAGATTTGAGAACTCAATTTGTAACCTACAGTCTGTAGACTATAGTTCTGTCTCTAGAAGATGGTGGCAAAATCACTTAGTGTTGGAGGAGGGAGAAGAGATATTGTTTATCATGTTGGATCTGGGTTGCAGAATGTAATTTTTATATGCTTGTGCTTAACCAAGGATTTGATGAATTTGATGAATTATCTCCCAAACATGTATCTATGATTTACTGAATTTTTGTTTTTTGTGGTTAAATTTAATTATATTAGCACGGATTGTATTTGATTTTTGAATGCTGAAAGTGTTGGAGATTAGAGAACTCGAAGCATGATGTGGAATTTGTCTTTGCTTTCAATGTACCATGATTTTGCATCTATTAATGGAAACCTCTTTTCTCCAGTCTATAATTGAGCATGGTGCACTTCCATGCTTGCTGAATCTATTAACCCATAATCATAAGAGGAGCATCAAGAAAAAAGCTTGTTGGACAATCTCAAACATTACTGCTGGAAACAAGGAACAATTACAGGTAAGCATTTAACTATTTGCAACTGAAATACTCAAAGTTAACTACTAGAAATACTCAATTGACTACTCCCTGAAATTTTATATCTATTTGTTATAATAAGAAGCTGATGATCATGACTTTATTTTATATGAATTTACCTCATTTTACTTAGGCCTCGTTTGGGAACAGGCTAATTTAATAACTTTTTGGCTATTTGGCTAAAATATGCGCTAAAAAAAACTAGTATGTTTGGGATGATTTTTTGACTTTTTACGAAAAGATGTGCAAAAAGTAGAGAGATAAGAGAATCTTTTGACTTTTTGATATTAGTTGTTGGCTTTTTGATTTTTTTAGTGATTTTTTGACTTTTTGGCTAAACGGGTCGCTTCCCATACGAGGCCTTAGTTACAGTACAGTATCGCCATTTTCTCGTGACAATTTCTTTTGAAATAGTTTTATTTCTATTATTTCAAATTAAACTGTATTAAATTTTCAAGTCACTTGTACATGTTTATGCAGGTTTTGTTGAGAGAGTAGTTGATATAATCGAGCGGGTGACCTTTGGGAGCCAAACTAAGATTATGTTGCTCTTTCTTTTGTTGTTGTTGTTGTTGTTGTTTTTTTTTTTTTTTTTTGAGGACTTGAATCTTTTAGCACAATATATTTTAGGATTATTTACCAATAAATCCTACCTCACAAACAACTATACCAATCAATCCCCAATTTAAACTGTTGAACCAATAAGTCCTATTACTAGATAGATATGTTCCATTTGATCATTTTTTCCATTTTTTGTATTCATTTGTGACGATTGTGCCCTCAATTTGTTCAGTGGGACGTGTTTCATGGGCAGACTTTTCTTTTTGGGAATGTTACACCATATTTGGTAAGTTGAATATTGCTTCAAAGGATGGGTCAGCCACTTATTTGTTAGGGTTTGTGGTGCGCCGTCGTAGTGTTGGTGCTGTGACGCCTGTGTGTTTCGGTGGCATATGCAGCACTTCAGACCTCGACAATGTCAATTGGTTTGCAGGTATGTCATGCTTTTTTTGCGATGTTGATTTATGCGTTTTGTTGATTTGTTTTGTGGACTAGATTGCACCAGTACGTTGACGTCATGTTACATAACGTGTTGGGCATGTGTATGAATTGGTGTTAGTGGGGTATGGTCAATGTGGGTGTTTGTGGTGATGCATTAGCCGGAGGGGAGATAGGATAGTGGGTTTCGTTTGTGTGGTGGTTTGTCTTTGTGTGGATGTGTTTACAATGTTTGTATATTCACTGGGATGTGGGTTGTGGGGACTGGGATGGTACTGATTTCGTATGGGTGTTTCCTGTATGTGTATCTAAATTTGTGTTTTTTGTAGTGGCACTATTATTAATTTCTGGGGTGAGGTTGTGTGACTTTGTCTGCTTATTGAATTTTCATATTCTGAATGCGTGGGCTTGTGTTCTGTTACAGCCGATGGATACACATGTAATGTTGATATGTTGTTACGGTAATACAAATGCCGTTGTCAATTTGGAAGCCCCATTCCGATTTCAGGACTTGGTGAATCATGTTTACGAAAAATTCTTTGGACTCACACCTGCCAATCTGTGTTATTTCTTTAAAATGCCAGGTTACAATAACTTCACCTTACAGAATGATGTCGATATGCAGAACATGATATCTCTTGCTCAATCTTTTCAGGTGCAATGCATTGATGTTATCATTGAGGTACCACGTGTGGGATATTTAGAAAATGTTCACTATCCCAAAAACAATGTACACATTGGTCCATGTCTGTCGGATGTGTTGACTGACGAGTCGGATATGGATGACGAACAAGATTGTTTGGACAAATATTGTCCCCACGTCGATAAGGTTTTTTTGTCTGCTCCATGGGCGAACGGAATTCGAAATGTTGGTCAAAGTTTTGAAGGGGGAGCTGCTGAATTTCGAACGGTTTTTCGCAAGTATGCGGTGGAGTGCGGATTTCGCTTCAAATATATTAAGATTGATTATGTTCGGATTACAGCAATATGCATGATGTGCGAATCGAAGGGATGTATGTGGTCCGTACACGCACGTGTTTTACATGCCAATGGTTTTTTTTACGTACGTAAGTGGAATGGCTTGCACACTTGTGGTGTTTCCGTTCGGACACCCAAAAACCTAAGGGCTGGTTCTGACTTAGTGTCTGATGTCATTTCTGAACGGGTGCGTGACAAACCCCTCACACGTCCCATTGATGTTGTGTACGACTTGAAAAAAGATTACGGTTTGGAGGTTAACTATCGGGTTGCCTGGTTAGGTGTCGAAAAAGCCCGTGGTGAAATGTTCGGTGCACACTCAATCTCGTTTGACCAATTACGTTGGTACAGTGATGCAGTTATGACTAACAACCCAGGCAGTTATATCAACATTGAGTACGACGAACAACACAACCGTTTCTCAAGGTATTTCATATCATTCAAAGCATGTATTGATGGTTTCACCCATTACCGACCAATGCTTTTTTTGGATGGGACATTTCTAAAGGGGAAATTTAAGGGGAACTTGCTAGCCGCTACAGCGAAAGATGGCAACCAAGGTATGACGTTTTTGTGTGACCATGTCCAACATGTTTTGCCACATTCGATCATGTCTGTTTACATTAATGTACACATTATTCTATAAGAAAATACTCGACTGACCTTTTGACAAATTAATTGCATGCAGGTCTATTCCCTTTAGCCATAGCCATTGTTGATTCGAAGAACACTACAAATTGGGCTTGGTTTTTGGGACACCTCGCAAACGTTGTAAACGGCCAAAGAGAACTAACATTTTTGTCGGACCGACACACAGGCCTGCTGGAATCAATCCCAGCCATATTTCCCACAGCACATCACGCATTTTGCTTAGAACATTTGCAACGTAACTTGCAAGACAAATTACGCTACGTCAACAGTTCATACCGCGCGTGTTTGTTGTCAAAATTCCGATCTTGTGCGTATGCACCAACAGTTGTTGCATTCAACGAGAAATTGGAGGAGTTCATGAAGGCTAGTCCCAAGGTCGCACCAGCTTTCTTAAAAGATTTACCGCCACAGTACTGGGCAAATGTGTATTTCCGGTACACAGTTACCACTTTTAATTTTACCATATTTATATTGTGTCATGCTCACAATGCCACCTTGTAGATTTCTGTCCAACAAACTCACTAACAAAATCACTGTATCTATTCCACCAGCGGTTCGCGTTATGGCGAAATGAGTTCTAATGCCGTCGAGTCATTTAACTCATGGATACGAGAAGCACGCCACCTCCCAATCACTCAATTGGTTGACTGTATTCGGACCAAGATTATGCGACAGATGTCCAAACGCCGACTCAAGGCGCAATCGTGGCCTGGTGTAGTTTGCCCGAAGATGGAAGATCGGTTAGTTAAAGCATACAACAAAGGCAGATCATGGCTTCTAAGTCAGTCCAACAATGAGATTTTCGAGGTCCACTCTTTTCCATCAGTAATGGTTGATGTGGGAAGGCGTACATGCTCATGTTTCCAGTGACAAATCAAACGGTTCCCTTGTGCTCACGCTGTTGTTGCTATTCGCAACAGCGGACTCGACCTTTATGATTTAGTCGATCCGTATTACCATGTGTCGGAGTACCGGAATTCTTACGCTTGCAACATACACCCCATACCCACGGTTGAGAAACCACCATTTAGCATTGAAGATTACATCATACAACCACCAGCTGTCAAACGACCACCGGGAAGGCCCAAAAAAAAACGAATGCTTTCAAGGGGGGAAGAAGTTCAACATATTAGATGCAACCGTTGCCAACGTTTAGGGAACCACAACAGAAAGACGTGCAAAGAACCAATTTAGCATTACATGCAGCCACATATATTTTCAAATACAACATTTTTATAGTCTTTATGTTTTTAATGAGAATAATCAGGTTTGCCACACACTATGGCCCGTAACACTTTTGATGTTTTCAGAATGTTTTCAGCTTTTGACCAACATTTTCTGTTGTTTTTTTAAGATACGTAACATGCAACGCATAAACCTTATTATTATCCTGTTATTACGTTTCACAAGTTGACGGCTAATTGATTCGCAACATTATAATGTTACATTCACATTTCAAAACCACATTAACCCAATCAGCCCACCTAACATCGACAAATAAATGCGCACCCAATAAAACTGACCTGCCCAATAATACCCTGTCCTTTTCATATTATACCATCATAGATACAAGATCACAACATACATGACTTACGCCACCTAAAAGCAGTCATACATGAACCACAACTCCACACAGTCAAACTGCACGTACTAATATTCAGAATGTTTTCAGCTTCGACAACATTTTCTATTGTTTTTTTAAGATACGTAACATGCAACGCACGAACCTTAATATTATCCTGTTATTACGTTGTACAATTTGACGGCTAATTGATTCGCAACATTATAATGTTACATTCACATTTCAAAACCACATTACACCAATCAATCCACCTAACATCGACAAATAAACGCACACTCAATAAATCCGACCTGCCCAATAATACCCTGTCCTTTTCATATTGTACCGTCATAGATACAAGATCACAACATACATGAGTTACGCCACCTAAAAGTAGTCACACAGTAACCACAACTCAACACAATCAAACTGCACGTACTAATATCACTACGTTTCCAAAGAAACGTGGCTACATTCGTCTACATTGTTTCCCAAGTATCATGCACATAATAATAACCGCCAACATACATACACGGCAATAAACACACAAAATTATTTGTCCAACAAAAACTATTTCATTCAAAACCCGTGACAAGTACTGGACAACGACTGTATGTCAACACCAAAAAACATACGTTGAACAACTGCAAAAACCAACACCAAAAACTACTAAAAGTATGTTTCAAACCTAAATAACTACACGGGAATAACATCCTTTCTAACAAAAAATTGTCATATGCACATTTCGCCAAAATATATCTAATTTAATGATAATGCCATCAGCCCAAAACAAGCACCAGTAGACATATATACTATATCAACCCCGCACCAGATCATTGACGAAAGACTTCACCATATTTGCACGCAACACGCTGCAGTTGGAACCTTGCAGTGTCCGTTCCACATCGCAATGGTGCACGTACTGTCGCATTATGGCACACACAATTATCCCACAGTCAAGCCTGCATTGATCAATATTTACGTTAAATCAGTAAAACTATGCGAAATACACAACACTACTCACCCACTCACCCACACAATAGGTCACCACTTTCATAACTACCACACTTACGATTCTGTTTTTTGCTGTGGGCACCTACTCACAGCCTCCAGCACATGATCAAAATCAGACTCGATGCTAAGAACATCCATTCCCAACTCAAGCAGCGACTGTTTCATGACGTTCGTCACCCGTTCCTTCTGCCACACATGCAAAAAACATACAACAGTGAACACATAAGTCCCACCCACACATCAACAAACCTTACTTATCAACTTACCAACAAAAGCGCTTCCGTGTAATGCACGTCTACCCCGTCCATATGCTGCCGCATCGGATTGTAATGCTTCCACTCACCGCTCTCAGTATCGTATACGACAAGTGTCCAATGTCCATTATGGCACATCGGAAAATGAATGAACCGACACATGGTACCGGCAGAAATATTCTTCCGCACAAACTTATCAAAGCCTCCCACATCTGCGCTTTTCACGATATCCTGCACACATACAACAACCACACCACGTTATAAATAACCACAACATAATCACTTACCACCCACCCACAACAACTCACCAAGCAAACACTACTGAAAAAATATGATTTGTCTGCCTGATCATCATTCCCCAATACCTTCAGCTGATCAGTTTTCAACAGCTCCGTATATGCATCAATCACCTGCGTTGCACAAAATAACTGCGCTTCAAAAAAATAAAAAAAAACAAAAACACCACCACATCGCATGCTGCCACCATTTGCTACATTCATACTCTACAACTAAAAAATGCTAAGTATAAATCATTAAAGATAAAATTGAACGTACATTGCCCCGTATACTGCTTTGTCTAACCAGTCCCTTCAAATCTGTAAAGTCTACTGTCACGCCGATAGAACCGTCTGCCCACATAATAGCCCTACAAACAATATGTTTTTAAAATCCATACAGAAGGGTGATGCACACACAGCAACAGAAATAACAAAAGAGAAACAATAAAAAAACCTTACCCGTCGCCGTTACGATCATACGCTTGTTTGATCTTCGTCTTCTCTTCAAATGTCATCATCTTCCACACGCCTAACCTGTTGTTGATATCAAATCCCGACCATTTTTTCCCTGCTACCTCAACTGCATCCACATCTATGACGGCATTACCACTCACACAGTTCTTCTCTCCCCTAACATTATCACTTTCTGATCCCATCCTTCTATCACGAACCCCTAACAACGGGTACTCATAATCTGCCAACTTCCACTCCTTTCTGACTTTGCCTTTAATGTTACGTACCAACGAATTTAGCCCGCCCAACCGCGGTACTCCTTTATCCACATATGGCAACACTTCTACTTCCGCATCACATTGCTGGACATCCATTGGATCATGCACCTCCACCTCATTCGGTTCATTGCCTACCTGCCATGCACAATCATTGACTGCTCGTAACGGTGACACATCACACAAAACGACCCACCATACCCACTGCACCCCGTGCCACTTCCCCCAGCAACTTGCTTATCTCCAGCGTTACGGAATGCTTGCGTGAAAGCATGCACGTCACGGTCCTCCAGTTGGTCTTCCAGTAATGAAATTTTTTCCTGCATTTCCCCATTCTCCTTCCTTAACTTTTCAAGCTCCTCATCTTTCATCTTCAAAACACACCCAAAACCACCAACTATGTTCACAGCCTGCAAGTCGCTCTTACTCTTCAACTTAGTAATCTCTTCTTCAAGGAGTGATATCATATTGTCCTTGTTTTTGTTCTGCAGCTGAAGTGTTGTGATTGCAGTTAACGCTTCTTCTAGTTTAGAATCTACCTGCGTGTAATTTTCATATGCACTAATCGATTCACGTTGTACATCCAGCCCAGCGCCGAACACACCCACTGAATGATCACGCACATTACCCGTATGACTCTTGCCAATTTTGTTTTTCCCACGTGCCTCAACACTCCCATCCCGCATTCCAACATCAACTGTCTCTTTCATTACATTAACTCTGTCAACAAAATCATCTTCATTGCCAATATTGTTTGCGCCAATGTCAACAACGTCGGCCACATCTCTGTCAGCCGCTTCGACATCCAATCCCATCATTTCCCGTTCATACTCAAGAGAGCTCAGACGATCAGTCTTTACCTGTTCACACAAACAAACACAATGACATTTTAAAATTACAAAGGTCATTGTCAGACTACAACTGACAAAGTTCCACAACAACCATATTGGGAACCAACGTCGTGCATACCTGGAACGTTACAGCACCAGCAAATTCTACCCCTTGCGCTTTATTCAACAGTGTTCCAATGCCCCATTTAAGGAACCTTGGAAACATGTTTTCGGTGTCAGGCTCCACTATTGTAGAATGTTCACACAACCAATACTGCGACACACATATCACAAAATTCAATAATCCAATTAAACGTGCAAATAAACCCAACCACACATACAAGACAATAACCACAAAACATTCAGTCACACACTTACCAGCAACGCAACCACGCAGCCGATCACCTTCCTTGGCGTTTTATGAAAATCCTTGACTGACCCCATCAACGTTGACAAGATTGCGCCTGTCCAGTCATACATCTGTACGGTATTCAGATTGTTCAAGTACCGAACAAATGTCCAACTTATTGTCTCCCCAGAGTTGGCAAAAAAAAGCTTCCCACAAATGTACAGCGCTAATAATTTCGCAGCGTCTTCCTCATCTTGTTTGCTATGACCACTAACAGCCTCTAAAAATAACGTCTTCACTAGTTTCGATGTTATGCGTGAAGTTTCAGAACACCTATGTTGAACGAAGTCCGATGCTGGTCTCTGTCCAGGTGACAAGTCCATGCGCCTCTTCCCATATTGTAATTCGAAGATTAACCTAATGTCACTGCTACCAAGTTTCACCATTGAACCTCCAATGCTGAATGCATTCTCCCGCTCATTGTATGCCTTTATAATTTTGCATATTAACTCATCACACTTTCGGAATTCGTTATGGATCAACTTGTTGACGTGTATCGCCTCTATCATAACCCAGAATGATGTTCTTCTCAACTGATTCAAGTGTCCCTCCTGCAGGTTTGCCAAACTCACAAGCTTCACTATCCCTGCAATGTTTGAACGGAAGTTCATCCTCGTGTTGTGTTTAGGCTGGTGTAGACGTCCCCGAACGCCCCGGGAGGGTTAGTCCCGTTCTGTTCATTTGGGGTCCCTACAGCTCGGACTCTTAAATGTCACGGTTCCTAATCTGAACCAAAGAGTCCAAATCCGGCAAATCGTTTTGAGAAACTGATTTTTGAAAAAGTAGTGCCAAACAT